GAGAACAATTTGTCTTCCTTACTCAAAACTGCAAGAGCTGAAATTACACGGAAGGACAAAACAATAGATGATCTGAGGAAACGGTATGAATTATATAAACTGTTATATTGGCACAAATCTGTTTCTAACATTACCAAAAATGTTTACAGGTTGGACGATGTAACCTTCAGAAGGAGCCGCAACTATAAATCTCGAGATTTTTCTATTCCTAGGTTACCATATCAACATAATGTAACTAAGAAGTATGAAGATACTTCCTCAATACATTTACAAGAAAGTGAAACTGAAGAAAACGAATCTTATCAAATTCAATTCTGTCACGATAAATATAAAAATAAAAAACCACAGAATGAAGTTCATCGGATGCCTACAGTATTTGGGGAAAGATTGTATAAGAGAATTATAGAAGATAAAAAAGAAGAGGAAAAGCAGACAGAATTAATGAAGCTTGCTGCAGATATTAAAACAAAGGATATTTCTAAGGAAAATATTATTGAAACTGATAAGAAGGCTGTATCTTCATTTGGTATGAATAACAACGATAATGATTCTAATATCGGACGATGTTCTAGTTCAGGTAGATTAAAGATATATTTACTTTTTATATAATTATATGTATCATGTAAGCTTACATAGAATCATAAAACAATTTTTAATTTTTATATATTTTTCTAATAGAAGAATTTTTTATATCTTTATATTAAACACTATTAAGTGAACATTTATTTTAAAATTTATATCATGCGTATTAAATATTTGTTACTACTTATCTGTAGCTTGAAGAAAGTGTATAAGAAGTTTAGAATATCTTAAGTATATACAGACTTTATTTAAAGACAGTTGAATAATAAACTTGTTAGTTTAAAAATTATAATTACATCAGAAAGTAATCTTGTTACAGAATCTTCGTACAGAAAAAATTTGATGAAAAGAACAAATGAAGAAGACAATACAAGTAGAAACAAGCGTATAAAAATTGAAAAAAATGAAGAGGAAACCATAAGCGAAGAAACGAATTACAATTATCTTACGCAGTATGATCTAACAGACAATTTTACGCAATATGATATAAAAGATAATCTCAAATTCGAAGATCGATTGGATGTAGCACATTCTTTTAAAAAGGAAGAAGTTTCATTCTGCGATGAACGTAGAGCTGCTTCAGAATACCGAGACACTAACGAGAATCAAAGTTGTACAAATGGATGGAGAAGCGAGACGAGAAGTAAATCAGCAAAAGATCATGACAGTTCCTATATCAGAAATAGTCGCGCTCATAGTTTACGAAATTTTCAGACAACTTCACACACAACTCGTGTCTCAGAAAGATTTAACAGTGGTTACAGGAAAAATGGGCACAGATATAGTCCGTCAAGAAGAAGAAGCTACTCTAGAAGCAGGAGTGATTACGAGAGTTCGAGCAGTCATCGTTTACGTGAAAAATCCAGTAGAACGTATAGAGAAACAAAGTATGATAATTATAAATATGATAGTCGATATAAATATGACAGATTAAAAAGGAACTATGAAAATGAAGAAAATGATAGGAAAACGAGATATAGGCGTGAAAAATATGATGATCTAAGAGACAAATATAGATATTCATCGAGCGACACTGAAGACAAAGAAAGTAGCTCATACAAGAATAAGAAGCAAAATCGCAAAACAGGAAAGGAAAAGGCAAACATTTTAAATGATAAAAAATTACACGAAAATTATAAAGCGGAAACTAATTTACGAGAGTCTTCTAGTCGAACAATTGTAAATAGTACAATGAATTCCAGTGCTGATAAAAATATTGAACAACATAAAGTGAAAAATGAATCAGAAATTAAATTGAAGGATTTGTCAGAAGTGCCCATACATATCATAAAGAAAGACTTAGAACATGTTCCGGAAGAAGGTGAAATTTTAGATAGTCCTAAGAAGAGAAATAATTTTACAAAAATCTTCGCAGAGAATAGAAGGGAAGAAAATAATGTAAAAATTCCAGTTGATGATAAAAATGAAGATATGAATGCATTCATAGATAACAAATTAACATCGCTTCAAAATGATGCAAATGGTACAAAACAATTAGAAGTGGCAGATATTAGTACAAAAAAAATTGAAGTAACATCACGTTTTATACAAGAAAATTCGAAAGATTGCGAAGAAATAATTCAATTAAATTTTTGTAAAAATGTAGTAGCTGATAAAATAAATAATTGTATAAAAGATAAATCTCTTAATAAAGATTTAATGGAATCTACTATTCAGAATATCGGAATAACTGAACAAGTGCGTGATAGTGATATTGACAGTAATGACAAAAATGATATTAATAAAAAATCGAAGGATTCTATTACTAAAGTAATTAAAATCAAAGAAATAATTGATTTTAATATTGATAGTGTTACTAAAATCAAAGAGATAGATGATTCTAGTATAGAAGCTTCTAAAAAGAAGGATACAAGCAATCCTAATATTGGAAGCGTTATTGAAATCACAGAAATGAACAATTTTAATAATAGTATTCATAAAATTGATGAATTAAGAATTTCTACTACTGAAGTTACAAAAATAGAGGCTATGCTTAATTGTGATATTGAGGATAGAAATAAAAATCAAGCATCACTTGAAAAGGAGATTTTTCATCAAATGTCAAATAAAAGCGTCATCGAAACATGCCTCAACGATCATAATTATGTTCAGAATTCTTCTCTCAATGTCTCTAATCTTGATACAATCCAAAAGCCATCTTTAAGATCAGAACGCAGTACAGCTATTTTAGATACAGCAACTTCGAAGGAAACGAAAGCGGAAGAAACAATCAATGTTCAATCGGTTGGTATTAAGAAGACAATATCTATAGTGAAGAATAAAAAGGACCAACAAAGCAGAGGAATATTAATTTCGCATCGTCGAAAAGCAGTGATACTGAGCGACAGTAATGCGTCTATGACCGTCCTGATGAATACAGTGAAAACGTCCTCTGTTACTAATAGTTATAACAACAACGATTCTACTTTGAAACCGCGTGCCTGTAAAATATCGCGAATGACTACAAAAGCAACTTGTAAATAATCATTGTACATTTCCTACACTTATAAGGAATATCAATAAAGCTCGATTTATAAACAAAAAATGAAGAATGGAAGTTGTACATTTAAAATGGTACGATATTTTTTAATTAGTTTCTTATCTTAAACTTGAAATCTTTGAAATATTATTTAAATATTATTTTTCTTTACGCATGTAAATGCATGGAAGATTAATTTAATTTAGGAAATAAAAAAAACGGATCATAAAAGTGAAACAAATGTTCTTTATGGCGATGTCAAAGAATTGATAATTGGTGTAAATTTAGAATTGCTTTCTCAAATTTGTTGAGCGTCTGCTTGTAAAATAAAAATAATTTCGCTCAAGTTCCAATTAATAAAAATCAACAATTTAATTGTTTCTAATCTAATGTTTCTTTTCACATACGAAAAAATTAATTTTTTCCATATTAACAGAATAAATTTTAGGCTTCTCATATGCTGCAATAAAAGATTTTTATCTCGTTACCTATTGTTCAGTCTTGCTCCTCTGTTTCTACTTTCGGATCAGTTTGCTTCTTTCTCATTTTTAATTTAATACATAGTATTTGCTATTTATTTTGTCCTTCATACATTTTCAAATATATTTCTTACTTACAAATTTATTGATATTTTAATTTATTAATATTTTCTTTAATTGTTAATTAAATAATATTATTTATTCTGTATAATTCCATTAATCTTTGTACATTTATGTGTGAGTGTATGATCATCTTTGCTAGACTCTGACCGAAATTGAAATGAGTACTCATTACAGTTGTCAGTTTTGACTGAAACCTTATGCTTAGTTTTTCATAAATATTAATTTTAATATGTGTAATTATTGTTTCAATAATTAAATTATGATATTTATGAAGAAAAAGTATATTATATATGGACATATCTATATAAATGGCCTTTATAGAATTACTATTTTTTATAGAATTACTATTTTTAAATTTCGATTTCGATTTCAGTTGAAATTGACATATAGTCGAATATTTCGATTTAGTTTCGGCAAAAGTTTCGGTCGGATTCTAATTTAATTTTTGCATATTAATATAAATGATTTATTATTATTATTATTATTATTATTATTATTATTATTGTCATTGTAATTATTTATTAAAGATGTAGGCTTAGAAATAGCCTCAGTGCTTCAGTAATTCTTGAAGTGCTGCTTTTTACTACGTTTATATTATAGCATCTACACACTTCAATAGAATTATTATTAACGATACAAACATTATTTGACAAATTAATGAAAAGAACATATCAATTGCCGAGTTAATGTTGTAGGTTGCATCTATGAACGCTATGTATTCGCCGATTCGATTTCGAGAAAGGAGAACTAAAATCTTATAGTCAGTTCGAGATGAGAGATAAATATAAAATTATAGAATATATATATATTAAAATAACTGTCGATGCCAGAAACAAAATCCTTTAATTTTACAATGACAATCAACGTCAATTTGGAAGTCGGTCGAAGTAGGCCCAAGCGAGCTAGGGCATATTCTACATCGATTAACGCGGAAGAGAAGCGGCTGAGTATCGATCAGAAAATAGCCGGCGCAACGACGACGCCGATACGCGCGCGTCCGTTGACGTCACCAAGCCAGGGGTCGGGAGTGAAAGGAACATCCATGCGCCGCGCCACGCTTGGCAGTCGCAGAGGACGTCGGGATGACCCGCGCCATGGACATCATCGCCGTCGCCGTCGCCGCCGCCGTCGCCATCGCGACCGCCCACTAACGCGCTTCTAACTCGCGACGCACGCGAGTATGTGCTCCTAAAGTGCTCCTCGCCGCCGATCCTCCGCTATCCGACGACGAGAACGAGATCCGCACTCAGTCGCGGCCGTCCACGTCGCGTTCGCTTCCGGTGATAATCGATCGGCGGCGTTTTCGCACGCAATCCGCGATATCTCGGATCATCAAGATGGGTTCTATAGTGCTCAAGTCGCTTTCGGTGCTTCTCGGTATATTCTTCGTTTTTGTCGGCACTATGAAGCTGACTTCGCACATCAGCAAGGACTTGCACAAGGACCTGGTAAGTTGTCCACGAGCAAAGAATCGATCCTCTTCTTTGCTTATGTGATATTTAACGGAACACTACTCTGCGATGTATTGTATACATCAGGAACGATAAATGGCGATGTTAGATGTTCAGTAAATGATCAAATTTAGTCATTGTCAAACTTATCTGTCATTATAGTTGAAATATAATTATAATTAGGTTTAGCAATGAACGCGACTGACAAGTTCCGAGACGTGGAATTGATAAAGTTATTGTTCACTGGAGTGAAGTAGATTAATTTTAGTATAGTTTATTCTTTATCCTTTTCTTAGAATTAGAAAAAGATAAAAAATGAGTTAAAGCAGGATTAAAGTTAATCTACACTCTTTAATGTTTTTATATCAATTATTAAGTTAACAGCATTGAGATTGATGGATGATTTACAAAAAATAATTTAAATTAGATACATTTATCTTATAATTACTAAATTACCATCCTATAATTGCTAAATATATGTTGTCTTATAATTATTAAATTATTTTATCATTTATAAATAATTGGCAGCGATCATCGCACGCAAACTTCCACTTCAAAAACCTTCCGCAATTAACATTAACCGATAAGTTAATTTAAGATTTCCGCTTCCGCTTTAGATTTCAATAGTTATTCGTCCGATCTGCAACTGTCAGTCAATTCATCTAAAAATTATACCGCAAATGTTATATTTTTTAAAACTGATTAATTAAATAATAAAAAGAAAATCGTTTCACCGCGTCAAACTGTCTAGCAGGCTGACAGACTGGACGCCATTTGTCACGCGATATATCATCCCTTCTCGCATTATTTTTATGTAATTTCATGAACGTCAATGTCGATGTCGGTGCCAAAGTGGATAGATACGTCGAATGCGAGCCGCCTCGTGTATCCGTTCGCTCTGTTACAGTCTAGCTTTGTTATGTAACATTTATATACTTGAAGCTTGCTACCCTTGATTCTGTCGCTACATAATCGCGTACGCGCGCGCTTATGTAGACATTGCGTTTGGCATTGCAAATCGGAGGCGTCCGTTTGCTCTTTTATTTCGAAAATCGTTCGACAACTTGCATCTTTCTACTACATGTCATCTCATTTACATTTCTAGAGCCAATCGAGCTGCTCGATTCACTCCAGATTCAAAAATCGAGCTCGCAGAACTAATGCAGATTTTCGCGCCTAAATTAAATTCATAACCTCTATATATGATAATATATCCAACTGATTCGTTAACACATAACATTCATTTCTTTTAATACTTCTATTTTACAAATAATGTATTTGAATTATTATAATGTCTGAGTCTACAAACACTCAAACAAATGTTATTAAATAGGAATGATGTATAATATTTAACAAGGAAAGTTTTTAATTTTTTTCCTCTTTATGAATTTGAAGTTACGTATTTGAAAACAAAGTATTTGCTAGTTAATTTTTCAAAGCTTATGTTGCATTTGTAGACTGAAATAAAATCAAACTGTATTAATATATTAAAGACGCTAACAAATATAAATCAAATGATATAACTTACAAATTGCTGAAATTTATTTTGCAATGTAATATTTTCTTTTAAGAAAACACGCCTTGCATATGAGTCTGCTATTCATGTGTAACGATCTATTTTTAATATATAAGACTATTATCAGTTTCTGTAAAGCGAAAGAAATTTTCTATTAATAGAGTTTTCTTTATTTATTCATAAAAATAAACAATTTCATTTTATAATCTAACCTTAAAGGATAGCTCTGTAGCATTCGGAATTAATTCTTGGCACTCGGATTACTCGAAGATCACGTGATCAAGCTCGTCATCTGTTAGCTCGCATCTCAAATTTACATTGCCGAACGTATCTAACAATTTCCAGTTTTCCCTTGCCCAGGATCGCCGCAAGCAGGTGTGCAAGTTATGCAAAAATGCATTAACAAGAGAAACGCTAAATTAAATTTTAATCCTTCATCTGCAAACATATTTTTACTTTTTTAACTGCGATAGATTTTTGCTCAGCCCAATTTTTTTATTGTTCTAGATTTTCAAAAAATGTCAAGATTATTTTTCAATATCTTTTCCGCAGATAAGATATTTGTCAAGATATTATCAATATTTTTAGAAAGGAAAATTGGACTTCAGCCTCCTTTATTTACAATGAAATTTGAAAATGAAATTTTACTTGTATAAAAAAAAGCTTAGATTGCAAAAAAAAAAGTTAAAAATTTTTCAGTCTAATCAATCATATGTGCACGCTTCTATTAGATTTAATTTCTTCCAAAACTGTATATTAATTCAGAAAAACTAAAATCTAATCGCAAAATCTAGTCGGAACAGATAATTATTTATTTGCCGTTGCTATTAAAATTGTTCAATGCATACATATATACAAAACCATTTTAAAGCACCCATTTTTGAAAAGAAATATATACGAAAAATGAAATATACAGGTTTAGGTTAATGATCTGCATGATTTCTCAGGTACTTCCGACAATTAAAAAAAAGTTAAAAGATGAATATTCATCTGTTTTATATAGGTTATAACATGCGATAAAAGAATAAGAAAAAAAATTTTTTTTCATAAGAAAATCAAAGTCATTTAAAATTTTTTAAATAATACCATACAATTTTTTCCCATAATATTATAGGAGTCTTCAAGACAAATTCAAATCACTATCGAAATGTCATTTTTATTGATTTGATGATGTTTTTTTTTATTTTATTCATACTTAATATCAAATTTGTAACATTATTTGTAATAGTATCTCTGACTAGATACAAAACATATATACATACGTGTACTTATTTAATAAAGTATACATAAAACATCAATAAAACATCAATAAAAAATGACATTTCGACAGTAATTTCTGAAGATTTCTAGAATATTATAAAAAAAAATTGTATGAGGCTATTTAAACTATTTAAAAAATTTAAGATGACTTTGATTTCCTTATGAAAAAAAATTTTTTTAAATTTTTTATCGCATGTTTTAACGTATATAAAATAGATGAATATTCACCCTTCAATCTTTTTTTTAACTGTCAGAAATATCTAAAAAATCGTGCGGACCGTTACGCTGAACACTGTACTATGTTACTTATATTGTATTTTTTCGTATATGTTTCTTTTTAAGAAATGGATATGAACTTAGAATACCGATTATTTTTCTAGAATGTAAAAAATCAAAACTTTATTAATTTCAATAATTACACAATTTTTACGTTTCACATTTTCGTTCTAAGAAAAAGTAACATGATCAAATTGCGCTTTGTCTAAAAAAGATATTTAAAAACTTATTTAAAAGATTAGTAGTAAATAAAGTAAAGAAAAATTAGTAGGAGCGGCAAAATCTCCTTTAAAGCACAAAGGCGCTTTATGTATTAACGGCGTTCCTGCTCTTGTCAGCTAAAGCTCTCAGTGTCCGTTTCCCACAATGCTCAATTTCCGAATTGTTAACGCTCCAGAGATGAAAAACTCGACAACAAATACGGATGACACGGTTCATATGGCGCTACGTTTATCGGGTTAACGTTTGGGCGCACAGTGGCCCCTTCTTCGGAAAAATGATGAAAGGCACAATTGATCGATCCAACAAATTATTAACCGATGTTCCACAGGTTGATACACATCGAATAGCTTCCGGCTGTACGATGATGTTATATTGCTGCCGATTATTTCTTCAAAACAGTCAACATAATTTTACAAAAGAATAGAATATCAATCTTAAAAAAAGACATAAAGAACATTTAGCAACGCTCTAGCAATGAATTAGTATGAATTAAAGAGTAAAATAGTAATTTTTTAAACAATTTTTTTTTAAAATAGATTATTTTCAGCACATTTAGATCTGTATACGTATAAAATGATTTTTAGACATATCTTTGTACAGAAAAGAAGAGTAATTGTGCCAATTATTATAGAATAGACAGTGTATCTGCGATCATACGTCCAATGAAATAGGAATTTTTTAATTATACAGTTATTATTATATTATTTATACTTCTGATATTCTTTCCAATTTCATCCAGGTGTCTAGAAAAAATTAATATCAAAAATAAATAGTATTATTACTATTGTTAAGTTAAAAACTATTTTTATTATTTACATTCTACAAACTAAAATTAAATCTAATGACAAAATGTCAATAAAAATGATAAAAAATTTAAATAAAAATATCAATAAAAGTCAGTTTGGAACAAATAACATAAACATCAATGAAACATGAGCAATAATAATATTTTCAATATTTTTTTTTATTTTTTTCGAGTTTATTTTCTACAACCTTCTACATTGGTATAATTTGATATTAATTCTCTTGTAATCTTTATTTGAAATAGCCAAAGAAAAAGAGGATTGTTGCGAGGAATGCAAGGTAGTAGCCAAATAGTATCAAGATCTTCAAAACAAATTCTCTTCTGCAAATTATGTTTACAATTTATGTTGAACTTTGTGCTGCATTCTCTTGAAATTAGCAAACTAATTTTTATAATTCATTTAAAATTTTTTTTTAAATACAACTGGAGATTTGTTCATTTAATTATTTAAAAATTATCATACAAAATTACGAACAATCAAAATTAAATGAAAAAACTAACTCTTTTTAAATCATAATTAAAATTCAGATGTAGTTTATGTAAAAAACACATCGAATTAAAAACGTTTTTGCCAATTATATCAGAAAAAAATTATATCAGAATAAAAGAATAAAAAAAAATATAATTATTGACGTATTGTTGACTTATTTATGAAAAAAAAATAACGCAACAGTAGGAAGTTTCGCTCTATGGCGAAATTCCTCTTTTTTAATAAAAGATATATATTTATTCGTACTATGAGTTAATAAAATATGTTACGTGTATTTAATATTATGGCTTAATGTAAATTTTTAATGTAAATGTGGCCTATCGATGTGTCATTTCGCTATTTCAGAATCTCTGACATTACCCAATGAAAGTGATATTAAGATAAACATTCGTAGATTATCCTCTTTTTTAATTAAGATCGACCAAACACCAAAATTATATGGCATTGCGAGTGTGTCGGTCGCAACGAGGCCAAGGGCATCGGAAAAAAATACAATTTTTTAAACCTGTCGATTGTAAGGTGCGACACATGCCTTGTCACCTAGCTTGTTATAGACAGTATAAAAATACACGCGGTAATGTGCGCTCGATAATAGGTAGGTATAGGAATCAAGGTATTACAATATGTTATGTAGTATTAAAAATCAAACATTGATATGGTTAGGAGGAAACATACAATTAATAGAATTTTATTGAATCTGAACTATTGTATTTAAGGAATAAATTGATTAATATTTTAATTAATTATTATTTGTAATAAACGTAAAATGTTTTATTACTATCATATTTTTTTTCTTTTGTCGAAAGCCAATTTTTCATTTCTCGTATATAATCTTGTATATAATAAGAAAATATAAATCTTTTTTTGCAAAGTATAGAAAGATATATATTTATTCGTACTATGAGTTAATAAAATATGTTACGTGTATTTAATATTATGGCTTAATGTAAATTTTTAATGTAAATGTGGCCTATCGATGTGTCATTTCGCTATTTCAGAATCTCTGACATTACCCAATGAAAGTGATATTAAGATAAACATTCGTAGATTATTTGGTCAACCGCCAATAAGCTCGCAAACTTGCTGGCGAATGATATTTATATACTTCGTGTATTAGAACAAGTCAGGTTTTCTACAAGTCCTCGAATTGTTTGAGGCTGCCAAAACGGGCTCTCGATTATTTTACCATTATGTAAATACAATGCAAAAACAGCATTCAGCAAGAGTTATTTTTTTAGAAATGAGCACAACAAGGTATATTTTATTTGTCTCTAAAATAATTCTTTTCCTTAACTATTGTATAGGTATTTTGTCTTTAGACGGCTGGCATTTTTTCATTAAAATAGTGATTCTTTTTTCTCAAAAATTTTGCTGTATAATATACATGCCGCAAAATTTCGAGATTTATGCAGGACCATAAAAGTGACTTTCCTGTCATGAACATACGATTAAATATAAAAAATGTTTATCTTCTCAAAAATAATATTTTGGGGGTTTTTGATATCGCTGATTCTAATTCTGAGTATAGATTTATAAAATTTCGAGCCCTAAGCACAATATTGACAATATAAATGAATATAAATGTATAGACTCAGAACTTTCCTTTATCATTACCCAGAGCTAACGACGTAGAAAGTTTCATAGGTTTTTGATTTTCTTTTTTATTTAGTTTTGAATTTATTTTTTTTTACTTTTTTCTTGTTTTATAATTTTTTTATTTTTTATAATTTTTTATTTTTATATATTTTTTGTTTTATATATTTTTAAAAATATATACATATATTTTTTATACGTTTTATAATTTTTATTTTTTAATACATACACACATATATGTTAAAAATACATTTAGTATTTAAAATATCATTAAAAGTAGTGGTATTTTAACTCAAACTCAAGAGCCACAAAAGTGACTTTCCCGGCCGTCTAAAGGTTAATTATACTCTACATTTGAATTCACAAATATTTTTACGTCGAGTATAATATCTATGCTTCAAATGAGAATTCTATTGAGGGCTCTAAAATTAAGGAAGAAATATATAATTTGTTATTCATGTTCACAGCGCGATTCACTACAATAAAAAACTTCTTTTTCAATCAACTATAATCCGAAAATTATTTTTATGAACTGATGAAGAGTTTGTGTTAATTTTCGAAACGTTTTTATTTTTATACATGATTTTATATATTAAAAATTAATGTATTTAACACCTAAATTTTTTAATTTTATTTTTGCTATGCAAACTAACGAACCTATTATCTATTTTTTTAATTATTTTTATATTTTTGTTGAAGAAATAATTATACGAATTTTTGACAAGAGATATCGCGACATGTGTTAAATTCATCAGCAAACATTATAATAGTTGAGCCATACTGATATATTCGTTATATATTTAATTCTAAACAAAAATTAACAAAGAAAAACTCTAAGAAAATAAATCAATATAATAAAAAGGTATAAATTAGCCGAATAAAAGCCCATGCTCGATGTGTATAAAATTTATTAGTCAATTTTATAAAGATCAATTAAATGAAAACATTTCGACCATTGTTTTTAATCTTTCTCAGTACAATTTCAATACAAAAAACATTTTATTCTAAGCATAATTTTATATATATAT